TTGGAAAGATCCTCTGATCGTTTTACTGTGAGCATTCATGGCCACGCATCGTGCTCAAACTTAACAATCTGAACTACAGGCTGCCGATGTTCTGGGCCTCTGTACGTCATTTCAGTAAATGTGACACCAAATAGTCATATTTTCTCAATGCTTTATCAATCGCAAATAGAATTGGTTCTGTAAGTAAATCTTTCCAGGAATCAACATGCTGATCCTCAAACAAGACCTCAGATACCTGGCAGTTTAATGGTGACCGTTTACTTATGATTGAGAAGAACTATTACTGAGATATTTGACCAGCTTACAATGGTGCCTTATTTGACAGTAAGTTCACGATGGATCCTTCAAATTATTGCTGATGTATTTCGTTAGTCGCAGGACGATCAGTGAACAACTTCGTCTACTGGGTATCTCAAATCATTGGCTCAGTCATTATTGGCTTGCTACTAGACTCAAAGGGGCTCTCCAGAAGGAGTCGAGCATTCCTCGGGTGGATCATCCTCTTCGTCATGGTATGGCTGGTGCACATTTGGGCATACTTTTATCAAAAGTAAGTACCAACATGGCCGAAGATATTGTATTAACCAGATTTAAGGACATACACAAGAGAATCCGCATCTGCGCCAGGCTTTCCCTTGATCGATATTCATGATAAAAGCTACCCGGCGCACGTCTGGCTTTATATCTTCTGCGGTTTACTAGACTCCATGTGGCAGACCACAGGTGTGTAAATTTTGATAAAGGCGACGTGTACTAAGACTGGACATAGCATACTGGATGATGGGTGCCATGTCTAACGACCCAGCTAAGCTGGCATATCTCGCGGGCTTGTATAAGTCTATCCAGAGCGCAGGTGGAGCCGTTTCATGGAGGATTGACGGCATTAAACTCCGTAAGTTTAGTTTATACAGAGTGAGTTTGGTCAATGACGGTCACAAAGCGTACATGAATATCTTCATTTCAACATGGGTTTTACTTGTTGCTGGGCTCATATTTGCGCTTCCTATGCTCTATCTCCGCGTTAAAGAGCATACCGATCTCCAAGATGAAACCCTCGCACGCATGGACGATTCTGGACGAGTATTAGGGGTGCATGAAGCAGAGGAAAAACTGGCTGAAGCGGGTGTTAGGGCATAATGTGATTTGCCTTCGTCCAGTACGCGAGGTGGTAGCACTTTGCCCTATTTGCAGGTTATAACGATTCCTATGATTGATACTTTCCACCTTGAATAAACGTGTGTATGATTTAGTTCAGAAAATGGCCCAATATATTTCCTGAAAATTATTGCTGTTTGCACCTGAGTTCGGCCAAACAACCCTTTTTGGAAACAAAGCAAAAAATTCTGCGCGACGTATAACTAGCTCAATTCCTCACTAAAAATCATATAAAATACATATTTTAACTCGAAAAGACAAGGAGAAGGGCCGTGTAACAATATTGAATCAAAGTTCCGGAAGTCAAAAAGTGAAACTTACTCCCTAGCAAAATTCTAGACCGCGCGGCTCTCTGGCTCACTTTTCTGATTTCAGAAATGTATTTTTCAAGAAGATTGGCGCCCGTCTTGAGGTGCTATGGCTCGCACACGATGGGTTGCTTTGTGGTTGTTTGGCCGAACTCAGGTGCAAACAGCAATAAAACGAACAATATCGATAGACATTTCGACTTTGATTAGGGAAAATATCCTATCATAATGAGTAGACTGCACGACACAAGGGAGGTTATGAATGTAAACGTATTGACATCCCCATTTGAGTTTCTAAGCGGTCCTCTTCCCTAGCCCTTTGCCTATCTATTGAGATACTTGTAAGGCGTTTACGTTGCCTTCGTGGGGAGAGATGAGAAATGTCATGCGGCGGAGAATCTTCAAAGCATTTCATTAGCCACCTGTTGATCTCGTAATAAAGCAATACGTACCTATCCATTCCTCTTGATCATATTCGCGAGCATTTGCTGCTCTCAAAAGTTCTTTCTGCTTAGGGAGGCCGTAGTGAAAACCGTATTGACGTCGCCTGGGATCTTGTAAAGACAAGGGAATATCGTTTGCTCCTTTACGACTTTGTCTATATTCAGGTTCGTCTGGGTTTAGGTAGGGTTTTGGCTTGTTAGTAGCCTCTACCTTTTTGGAACTGTTAAGAAACGGTACCCCGATCTCTCGAGTTTGATTCGATGAGATGGTAGACTTTACAGGGGCCCAGTCGTTCCCTCTTTCCTTTCTCCTCATCTCTTTCCTTTCCTTCTCTCCTGGGTCTTTCCAGTCCACGGTTGCAGACTTTGACCTGGGTTCCAAGCCACGTACTTGTTCGTTCGAACGTAATGCAGAAGTACGATCTTTGTTCGTCCGATCTTGCCATTTTACCGCTAGGACGCTCCCATAAGTCCTGTCTTGCGCGGGAACATCAATGTTCCGACTGTTGGCTTCTTGTAGAATCTTGTCGACACCATATGCCACTCGTTGCGCCTCAGTCAGAACCAGGTGCTTCATCCAAATGAGGTCTCCTTTCTGTGTTGGTATGGATTCCCGTTGCTCTATGGGAGTTACATCACTTCCAGGAGGCACAAGCTCCCAAGTCCAGTCATGTATCTATATTGATATTAAGTTAGGGAATGGACTTCGCAATGTCTAAAGGCGCATAAGTCACGTAAATGACTTACCATATCGTCCACGAGTTTGGGACCATTCTTCCTCTTCTTCTTCCCACTCATACTCAACTTTTGCACCTCTTCCATCTCCTCTCTAGTGGGTGCTCGAGTGGTATGTACCTTCCGAACGCGTCCAGACTCTTGCAGGGCATACAAAAGAACTTTCTTTAAGTACCTGTTTCAAGGGATCAATAGACATTCGAGAAATAGACAATTAATTACTTCATAGAGCGTATGGGATGATTGGGGTAATCTGGTTCAGGAGGGACTGGTTTAGCCTCCCCGTTTTTCAGTATGACTGTGTTTGGATGTCGTGGGTCTGGGAGAGCATATGATTCAGGTAATGGTTTGCTATGAATGGCCTTCCAAATATCTCTATCACGGTGGTTAGCATATGCAATGGGCTATGGCATGTTGGGGAGTAAGAAAATCTCACTTCGTTAACATCTGCGGTGGACCGTCTTCCAGAGCTTGAACAACGAGTTTGAGTGCGGGTAAAGTTGGTCCTTGTACATATCTTGGGCCCGGAGATTGGTCACTCCCTCTTTTGACAGACTTATTGAGACTGGAGGTCAAGTGAAATCCACGACGGGACCCGGCATGCAGTCTTGTTTGTGCACTATGTGCATTTATCACAAGTCTAGCGAATAATGACATGCTTTTGGCCTTTTTCAATGCCAGGTTCCCTGTCTGGAGAAGGGACATGATGGTCGTCGAAAATAAGATAGCGATTTGAAGGAATTGAATTGTTCAAGCTTCGTCCATCTTTTGTCACTTATTTCATGATGCAGATATTATATCCATTCAAGTGTAAGAATACTTTTTAAAAAATAGAGCGAGTGAGAGTCTTAAAGCGCACAGTGCGCCCCTTCTGTTATTCTAGAGGGTTCGAAATTTCTTAACCTCCACCACACTCTAGCCTCCCAAAATATACCTTGTTCCAATCACATCAAAACAATGCCTACTCATCCTGAACTGCTTTGGGCTCAAAGGAGTAGCTCCGAGGATCCCACAAAGGTATGCTCAGTTTCTGTTGACGCGTCTCAGCCACTCGAGGCTGACCATCGTTGTAGGTGTGGAGTGCTAAGGTCCTAGCCCCTAACTCTCACTAAATTAGTTTCTTTATGGTACTAGAATATCGTATATTTGACGATCAACCTGCCCGATATCATCGAATCTACACTTCAATGTGATCTCTCCGCCACATCCCTAAAATTCAAAGCCAGGGCCGGAAAGTTGGTTTGGATCCACCTAAATGATAGCAAATTGAGCTGACCCGATGTCATCGTTAGTGCCAGTAAAGGGCTGGAGGAGAAAGATTATGAGTTTGCCATCGATTTCTACGAGGAGGTCATTCCAGAAGTAAGTTACCATCGAATATCATCGCCACTTTTATCATCTCTAACCCCGCTCAGGAGTCTTCTAAGCGTGTCAACTCTCGAGCTATCGACATGGTTCTTCGCAAGAAGGAGCTCAAGACCGAATATTGGCCGCGACTCTACAAGGGTGCAAAGTTACAATTTGTGAAGACCAACTTTAGCAAATGGGTTGATGAAGACGAGCAAGACGATGCTAAACCAGTAGTTGATGACGAGGACGACTTCAATCCAATGGGTGGCATGGGTGGCATGGGTGGCATGGGTGGCATGGGCGGAATGGGAGGTATGGGAGGTATGGGAGGTATGGGCGGTATGGGTGGACTAGGTGGTATGGGCGGTATGGGTGGAATGGGAGGTATGGGTGGTATGGGAGGCGATTTTGGCAATGTTGACTTTGAGAAGGTGAGCGCTTTCTAATGTCCTTCGTACATGCGCTGTCCTCGTTCTCTAACCACGTAACTCTCCACAGATGCTTGCAGAGATAAATAAGAACAAAAAGGAGGGTGGAGGAGATGATGCTGAAGACTCTGATGACGATGGCCCACCACCGCTGGAGGGTGATGATGCCCCTTCTACAAGCAAGTAGGCGAGCAAGGTTCAAAACATTCAGTCGAATACGAATTAGCCACGAGTAAGGTTCTCTATTCTACATAATACAAATCAGTATCTAATCAACTGCATAGTAATGGGTTAAAGTACAGAAGGATGGACATCTGGCGGAGAAAGTCTAATCTCGTAGCCTTGTCAATCAAAACCTTCTCAAAAGTCCATTTGTCCAAATAATAAGACTGAAAAGGGCCCTCCTTAAATGGAGGCATGAGATGTGGCCAACCAAGACCTCGAATTGAACCAAGATCCTGATCCATAGGAGGTGATCATATTGGTGATCTAGGTGAGCAATATTTGCATAAGGGTCTTTTTAAGTGATTGTTACGGTAACGTCTGTTTGATTATTGTTCCGCCTCCAAAATCGCCACCGGCTCCCGGCTGCTTGCTGCTGATCTTGTTCTTGGGGTTCTGCCTCTTCCGGTGGAGCTATTACAACTGGAGGTGGTTGTGCAGGAGGAACTCTGCCACTATACCACCTACAAGTCGGCTTGTGGCGGTCGCATCCATGGGTACGGATGGGTTCATAAGGAGCAAGGCAAAGCCAACAGCTGTTTGGCTAAGTAAATAGACTGGCCAAAGGGATCAAATGAATACTCACAATTCGTGCCCGCACCCTCCAGGGCGTCGACAAGTCATATGATCACAGCCTTCCTCTTTCCTGATCTGTGAATGGTCAGTAATAAGAAACATAGAGCTAGACTTGTAATCCTACCGGACGGCCACACCCTTCACCTGGGCAGCGCTTAGTTTGTCCCTCGACCCACTCT